AGCAAGGAGTTTAACAGAATTCAAATTATTTTACCAGCGACCGTCTATGTAAATGCATTACAATACACTAGCAAAGTCTACTACAAGTTGTACTTCGGGTTTTCAAAAGGCTAAACTAAATTTTTTGAAAAACTTTGAAAAAATTATTTTGATTATTTACAAGTATAAGCAAGTCATTTGCGCATTTTTATATCATCTAAGTAACTTTGAAAAACTTCGCCATACTCATTAAAATGATTTTTGAACTCTCTTGAAATAAGCTTTGTGCAAAAATCTTTTCGGTAATGCTGCCGTCACGCCACTTTTTCCAAAATTTCACAGTTTATAGCAGTTTATAACATAGTGTTATAACGGAAAGCTCCCTCAATCTTAGAAGAGCCACTGATAGGGCAGCGCCAATGGGAACAAGGTTTAAAGGGCGATCTGGGCTGTCGCAAACAAGAGGGACGATGATGTGGTGGCGATCTGTCCTCACAGCGTACAGAAGCTCACATTGGACGTATTCATCGAAAATATTATGACGAAAGCCGAGAAAATCGAGTGCATCACGGACTGACTGAGACAGAAAACACCAACCGCTAAATCCTGCCTTCGAGATTGAAGAAGAACTGTTTTCAGAAACATGCGACAGCAGGGGAGTTAGCGGTGTTGAAATCCTTGTCAGCACGGGTTAGGCTTTAAACATCAATTCCTTCAACCAACTAACAACCCGGATCAGACATTCACGAAAATCAAGATGTAGAATAATCCTGACTTTGACCGTCTTCATAGCGTACTCCGTAACATCAAGCTACAACGGGAACAAGCTCGAGGCCCTCTACATGGACTTGGGGAGGTTTTACAAAGAAGACTAGCCAAGATCATCCGCGATAATTTCAACGCGAAGACTGGAGCTAGAAGGTTGCCTGTAAAACATCACATCGAGATTTATAGACTGAATATGAAGTGAAACGAACAAGAGGAAAGACTGTTTGAGTTTGCCCTTACGTCGAAGGCAACCAGAGAAAATCGTAGTTTTGAAAGCTCACTTTCCGAGGCTGGACGTGGAAATTTCATGGTGGAGAGCACTATAAAAGAGACTGACCACATTATCTTCATCAAAAAATCAATGTGTGGCGTACGTCGCTGTCATTCCGAAGTCCTTCACGAGATCAGACCATCGCCTTCTACGTGCCAAGTCTTACTTCCACGGGAGTGAGAAAGCCTTCAAATTTAGGAAGCATCGTTCAAAGACTAATATCAATGGGAGTTGTTTTCGTCGATGTCCTGCTTTTGGCGAATTACCGTGATCGACAACATCAACGAGATACCAAATGCTCGTTTATCACCATTGCGCTAAGGAAGCAGAGAGTCCGAGAGGTACGAGGAAACGCGCAACGCCTGCCGAGGCTCTGTCAATTTCACCAATACAACCGCGCTTCGCCATTCTGAAGGAACCATAATTGTTTATCGAAAGTCAATGGAAAAGGTTAAACACATCTACCTCGAATCTTTCTAACAGCCACGTCCACCTACCTTCAAGTCACTCAAGGAGAACGATTATGTCGCACCGTCTGTTCATCCTTCCAAATCGTCCTATCATGCCGACCAATAATAGTGTACCGCCCGACCCGTTAGATTCAAACCAGAACATCTGAAGAATCTCCTGCCAGTTCTCATCAAGACTTTGGGAGACTCTTTAGGCGGTACCTGACGGAAAGCAACATTCCAAGTCAATGGAAAATCAGCAAGACTGTGCTGCTGTACTAGAATGGATTTCCCAGCGATATTCAATTATCGCCCTATCTGCCTGTAGTCCGTAATCTACAAACTTTTTACGCAAGTGGATTTCAACAGGATTGGAAGAGAGTTAGTGAAGGACAACCACGGGCAAGCTGATATTGCAGAGAATTCGATACGGTAGAACAAATACAGCGATGTCAAGACTCATTGAAGTACACGAGAATACAAGATGCCGCGCTGCCTCATCTGCATCGACTTGAAGAGAGTCTTTGATTGGTTGAGACTGAAGCAGTCATGATGCCTTGTCACGGTGTTCCTAATCAGTAGCATCAAGATGATTCGTGAGCTCTACAGGGTCTTCACAACCAAAATCACACCATTCTATCAGGGCATCATTATCGACGAGAATAAAGGCGTACAACAAGGCAACACTATATCGCCAAAACTATTCAGTGCCGCTTTAAAGAACGTCATGCGTAAGTTGAACTAATTAACGGCCGGCAACTACGTCTTCGGCCTTCGCTTTACTGACTGCATTGTATTGGTAACACCAGGCATCACGCAGGCGGAACTATCTGGCCCAGTTTGACGAAGTGTGTGGAAAGATCGGTATACGGTTGAACCACGATACTGTTCATGAGGAAAGGAAGAGTACCTGGTGCTATGTTCATGCTCAAAGGAAGAAACATTACCGGATGCTCAAGCTACAAGTCGGGAAAATAAGGAAAATAATGTGATGAACGGTATGCGACCAGCATGGGGAGCTTGTTAGACAATTGAGGAGGTAGCAAAGAACACCGAAAATCGGCTCCGCGCCCCGCTCTTCAACGTGACAATTTCCTGCTTCGACGTACACTTTAAAACATGGACAATGAGGAAGCGGGATGAACACGCGGTTAGCGTCATCGAACGTGTTTGTGATGTTAGGAGTGAACCGACTCACGCAATGAGGGAAGAAATACGAAGGTCTATTCTACGTCAACGATCAAAGATCAGCGATGCTGCTGCATAACCAAGCAGAACAAGGTAAAATGGGCCGTACTGATGTGTTTAACGACAATTGGTGGACGAGAGTTCTAACAGAATGGATACCGTTGGACGTCAAACGGAACGAGGAAAACCGCCGAAGCGATGGTTCTGATGTGTTCACGAAGTCTTCTAATGATGTCCTTCAGAGCGTCGCACATGTTCCCGGTACGATACGCAGACAGTATTCAAAAATCGCTCGAGGCAGATGGGGGCGTCGCTGGTACTCGGCCATATTCAAAACATGCTGACATATGCGGCTTGATTGATATAAGCTCTGCACGAAACTCAAGTATTCCGTATGCGAATTTCATCCAAATGGAATTTGATATTCGTTCGAAGTCTTCATATAACTCGAGTTTTCGAGTTTTATTCGAAAATGTAAAACTCCGAGTTTTGGATTTTGAGTGCTAGTTTTGAGTGTCGTATGTCTTAACCAAAATGTTTATATTTTTATCCTATACGACCTAAGCATGCTACATATCATGCGCCCTTGCATCCTTCAGCGTTTTACAAAAGTTCTTTCTGGGCATCATTCTAGTTGAGTACAGAAACCTTTTTTCAACTATTCATTATCCCCAAAAATAGGGAAATTTTTGCAAAGTCAATAGCTATGTCTGCTTGCGCATGCAACCGCCTTTTTAGGTTAACTAAGCAAGCCTTTGTGCATTCTTTGAAATTATGCAACAGCAATAGTTTCAGATATATATAGGACTAGCCGACGTCTCCGGTCCAGCCCACATAGTGGTGAACCGGCCTAGCATGCACATTAAAGCTTTCTGTAACTCTCAATTCATCCCTTTCTCTTCATTCTTGATTCTCGTAACCTCTTTCCTTCTTCCTTCCTGCTTCTGCTCCTGGTTTGCACTACAGTGGTCGTGGTACCCTTTGTAATGCCTTTTTTCTTGATCGCCTCTTTTCGTGAAACCGCTTCGCTCTTGCCGCAAAATATAGATGATCCCCCTTTTTACTTTACTGTAGAAAATGATTCGATAGATTAATAAGCCTTCATTTTATAGAGTAATTAAACAAGTCAATAAATCAATAGAGGGACCCAGCGTATCGTCGCGAAAATGACCTATCTCTTGCGCCGTGGCTAGTTCATAGGGAATTTCAGCCTTTTCGGTTCATACGAGGGAGTCTATAAGGAGGAGAACAAGGAGAACAAATATATATATATATATATATATATATATATATATGAGAACAAAGCTCTATGATTTATATTCTATGGTTTGCAACCGCGAAACCGTTTTTTAGGTTACCCTGTACGACTCAGCATAACAATTTATCTCCAAGAATAACATTTCAGCATTTCAAAAAAAAAATTTTGTCCGAAATTAGATCTTCAAAGAAATTTCAAGCATTTTAAGATACAATACACAAACAATACTTTAAACCGAATAATTTTCGATTATTTTTATTCAAGTGATTTATTCGAACTAAGTCGAATATTCAGGAAAGTGCATTTATTTGATTATTCGAATAGTCGAGTAAACGAAAAAGACCTTTATGCGAAATTTGTTTATTGAACGAATCGAAAAAACAATTTGTTCGAATTTTCTTCTAATATTCGAATATTTAAATGAAATTTGAATAAGTAGTTTTTTCGATTCGTCGAATAAACAAATATTCAAATAAGGGTCTTTTTTATTTACTCGACTATTCAAATAATCAAATAAATGCACTTTCCTGAGTATTCGACTTTTCTTTTTCGAATAAATTTATTCGAATAGAAATATTCGAAAATCATTCGGCCCAGAGTATAACACACACTATCACAAAATGCTTAGAGAAAAATTGCAAACAAACCCATTTGCACCGAATGCTGTCCCTGTGAACTTAAGTCTGATCTCTTTCAAGAAAACTTGACTTTCTTCGGAAAGATAACCTTGCCAAGACTGCCTTTGCTGGATTTTAAGTATAGCCCAATGCTGTTGTTGTAGTAACAGCCTCATCAACCACTTCTGTCTTCAACCATTACGAGAACGATGGCTAACCATCAGCTTGGAAGTTTTACGAGCAAGGATAGATGAAAGGGAGGACTCGGCCTAAAAAACCGCGGCTGTTCTACCGGATAACCAAAATCAGAAAAAAAATCCGATGAATTCGTTGTCGCGCAAGCACTTATAATTGTATTGTATTCAATATATTGGCTAGAAAAAGCGATGGATCTTCTAAGGAACAATTTCGAAATACGTGTATCTCCATTATTGCGAATGCCTCATAATGGTTTTCACGGTCTGTATTTTTCATGGAACGTCGAGAATGAATAGTAGTATGTACAGAAATTGTATAGTAGTACCAGCAGGCATCTTGACAAGAGGCAATGAGAACATTAATGATTGAATATGTTTAAGTAAAAGACATGCGTACATTAGATCCAACTTACGCGGAACAGCGGTTGCCGTTGTTCAATAGTGGTCGTTGCTGGTGCTGTAGCGCTGTTGGCTGACCGATCTACTTGTTGGTGCGGATTGAGAAGCCCCTATAGTGTTGTTTTAGATATGGTGGTTGTCACAACTTTGCTAGTCATTGCTTCTGTGTACTTGGCGCCGTTGCGGCTGCTGTAGCTCTTGTATCGTTCGCTGTTCTGCTCAAATTGATTGTAATGGTTGTTGGCTTCTCAGTTTCCGTAATGTTCGCATCAGTAACAGTACTGCCAGCATCGGTTGTCGTTTGCTTTGACGAGGCTGCCACCGTTGTTGCTTCTGTAGAAGTTGTAATGCTCATCGTGCTATTCACACTTGTTGGTTTCTCAGTTCTCGTAGTGTTCGCATCAGTAGCTGTGCTGCCAGCATCGGCTGTCGTTTGCTTTGACGAGGTTGGCACCGTTGTTGCTTCTGCAGAAGTTGTAGTGCTTGCCGTGCTTGTCACACTTGTTGGTTTCTCAGTTTTCGTAGTGTTCGCATCAGTAGCTGTGCTGCCAGCATCGGCTGCCGTTTGCTTTGACGAGGTTGGCACCGTTGTTGCTTCTGCAGAAGTTGTAGTGCTTGCCGTGCTTGTCACACTTGTTGGTTTCTCAGTTTTCGTAGTGTTCGCATCAGTAGCTGTACTGCCACTATCGGTTGTCATTTGTTTCGGCGAGGTTGACACCGTTGTTGCTTCTGCGGAAGTTGTAGTGCTCGCCGTGCTTGTCACACTTGTTTGTTTCTCAGTTTTCGTAGTGTTCGCATCAGGAGCTGTACTGCCAATATCGGTTGTCGTTTGCTTCGGCAAGGTTGACACCGTTGTTGCTTCTGCGGAAGTTGCAGTGCTCGTCGCGCTTGTCACGCTTGCTGGTTCCTCGGTTTCCGCACCAGTAGATGTACTCCAAGCATTGGTTGTCGTTCCTTCTGAAAACTTACAAATCTATAATCCAAGAAGTTCTGCAATCGGAATTATATGAACGCCTCACTATGTATTTCTCCTATTCAAGCAACAAAAACAACTTAAAACTGTTGAATCTCTCGGAAAGCTTTAGGTAATTGTGTCACCTCTCTTCAATAATAACACCGCATTTGTCTTCCATTCTCGTAACTAAATCCGAAACTCCTAAGCCTACAACTCGCCTTTCGTTTAGAGCCGTCACGGGCTGCTCAAACCCGGTATTGAAATGGTACCAAGTTTTGCTCGTTCTTCTTCAAAAAAGCGTAACATCCCGCAGAAAAAAAACTTAGTGTGAACTTTAAGCAAACTAAATGTAGGTCTTTTTATCCTACTATGTGTGATTGTAAACTTGTTGCACGTCATCTAATCAGTTCTGAAAAAATTATCAAAACTACGAGCCTTGTTTTTTATCATGCTCAACTTTCGCTATTTTCCTAAAACCCTGAACAAACTTCCGAAGTAGACCAAGCAGCTATGGATAAAGGAAGGCCTTACAGAGTACGAAGCAATTTCTTTTTTTTCCATAACTCGCCATGCATTTCCAAAAATGATTTTTGTTCAAAGAAAATCAGCCCAACTCAGAGGCAAACAAGTCAAACGGTGATGAAATTTTTAGAAGTCGATCATGAAGATCATGAACTAAAACTAATTTCACAAAGCAAATGAACGTTCATGGTAACAAAGTGTGAAATGTCAAATTTTTTGGGTGCACCCTGGCGCGCGTTCAAAAACACGAGTTATGACGACTTTTTCCCGCAGACTTTACAAACTAAAGGAAGAAACGGAAAGAGGGAAAAAAGCATCGATTAACACTCAAGTTGCAGCCAGTCGATGATCTCTGAGATTTGTGTTGACCCGTGTATGGAATTTGATCACCACAGATTTTGAAAATTTTCTGAAATAAGCTATATAAGAACACGGCAACAACTTGTTTTGTATGTATCCTGTAGGATCAGTTTTATTTATCTGCAATTTGGTTCTTCTGGGATATAATTTGAAAAAGTAGTGAAATTTGAGACCGGCAAGAACCATGAGTAGTAGTTTTTGGCAATTTTTTTTGAGAGCCATTGCTTAGTCTGCCACAGGGTTATAACATTCTGAATGGTGATGAAAAACTGCTCAAATATGCTTAAAAGCTTCTAATCTTTGTTTCGGTATTACTCTCGTTTGAAAAGAGCGAAATTACTTTTGGATGAAGGGAGCGAAAGCACTTGTGAGACAATTTTCGACCTTCTACCTTCGACGCTTTGATGGAAGAGCACCAAAGTAAAAGATTGCTCTAAAATGTCAGGCATAAAGACCTATTGGAAAAAAGCATTGCAGTGAAATAACAGCAGCGCGAGGCTTTTCGAAGATTAGCTCACTGATTTAGTATTAGTAAATTTGCTTGCTTGATAAAGATCAATTCAAATAAACAACGAAAATAAAAATGATAGACACGCTGAGATGTTTGCATGCAAGACAGAGACTAATTCAAAAAAGTTACTTACAAGGGAAAGATAGTTGCTCGAAGTGGCCTTTTTGCGATGATTTGTATACGATGTTGGAGAGCGCAAAATGCTGTTACCAAATCTGTCTACCTTATCTGCGGAGCGTCCCTGGACGAGCAGTTATGAGCTTATAAAGGAACAAATAAATGTTTTTCTGGGATAAAAACAGTTGCAAATTGTTCCCAGCGTTTGAATGAGACAGTCGGAGTGCGGATATATCTCATCTAGACATATTTCTTTCATAGAGTGCTGGGAAGATTACCGCTGGTCCAAGCAAGCACTAGGAAAAATGATACTACTGTTTTACATTATTTGGACATTGAATTTTTTTCTCCAAAAGCGCTCATAACTTCTTGTGCAGGAATGCGCCGCAGATAATAAAGACAGATTTGCAACCAGCGTTTTATGCCCTCCAAAGTCGTATACAACGCTTCTCAAAAGGCCACTTCGACCCCAACTATCTTTCCCTTGTTAGCCGATTGATGGAAAGATAGAGTGCAATATAACTACATGCATGGGGGCATCATTTGTTATGCGAAGCATGCTGTATAAAACACAATTCTTTTAAGAACCTCCTACTTGCTCAGCATGCAAAATAAGCACACAAACAGCTATACATTCGCTGTATTTTTTTTACCTCTGTAAATGCGAAGATCAGTGGCAGAAACTTGACAGATTTTACGTATATGTCCGTATGCTACAAAAATTTGGAAGTAAAACCATTGCAATCTTATCCTCGAATGTGTTTCAGTCATTGAAAAAATTACAAATTGCCAAAACACCTAAGGAAAGTAATTTTATATTTAGCACAAAACACCTAAGAAGAGTGATTTAATATTTTTAGCCTACTTCTGTTTTTTAACTTCTGATCTCGAATATTCCAGCAACTGCATTGATGCATATTGTCATGTGTCTGCTACATAATGACCAAGTGGGAGGCTCGTTTTTTGTGGAGATCCGATTTCTAGGCTAAGCGATTAATTTTTTGGTTTTGGTTAAACTTGTTTGAATGGGGCCACGATTGCTAAGAGCTGGTGAATTTTTTGTAGAGCTTGCTTTTTTATCTACTACACTTCGTGCAATTTCAATACTGAGTCGCATAAAGAGCGTTCATAACCTTTGCGTCAACCTATCACCTGGCATTTTACAAGCATTCAAATTTCTTTTGTCAAATGACCTCCCTTTCATTCCAGAGATTTCACGCATGAACCCTAGCTAGTTATGGACGGATACATGGTTGCATGTTTGATGAATTGTGGATAGAAAAAGTCTAGTAAATAGATAACTGCCTACTCCCAGCGGCTGAAGGAATCTACTTTCATCTAGGTCATTTGTGATTTACGTTTTCCACTATTATACTCGATGGGACTACTAAAGGCAGCATCCCGGCGAAACCCAAACTTACGGAAGTTTGTGGTCATATCTTTTTTGATGAGGACATTGAGTTATTTTTTATTGAGTCCAAAATGGATTAGACCACGTCTAAAAATTTTGTCTAAAACTATAAAAGCCGGAACTAACGTTATGTAAAATCTAATATGAATTTACAGACATTACAGACAAGATTGAGTATTGCAAACATGATCTGATATGAATTAATTCAATAATTATCTTTGTGATTTTCCTTGCTTCTCTCATCTCTGAGCTCGGTTGTTTTGAGCGGGAAAGCAACCTAGATTATTGGTGCCTTTCTACAAGAGATGCAAACGAATATACTATTTTGATCTGTTTTTGCTGTCTGCAAGGCAATACCCTGGAATAAGTTATGAGCATTTTTTCTATTTAAACTCGTGTGGTACTGAACAATCAAGATTGTCAATGGCAGCCAACTTGCTTTATGCTACCGAGCAAGATAAATAAGTTTGGCTTAACACCTATTGAGGTGGGCAAGAATAATGTCCGTTTATGCCTATTTTGCAAGCGACTTTTTTTTCATATAACTTTTTTTCGATACAGCTCCTATATATCATCGGAAAGGTTTCGTCATTACTTTCCAGGTGGACATGAAGCTTTTATCCTTATTCGTAAGAACAGCAGTATCGAAATCAGTCAGTATCGAAATTTCAAGCTTTCACTTTCTCGGGGTATTCATCAAATAAGCGAATTTCATTAAAAACAAAGCTGCTGTATGGGATAGATATTGTTTATTGCGTGCCTAAGTATTAGGTTGTCCGTAAATTAATGCAGGTTTTGAATTTCAATCGCAAAAAGTCACACACTTCTCATTTCTAAATAGGTTGCAAAGCACTATTCGATAGAGCAAAGCAAGCTCTACAAAATGGTAATCTTGCTTTAGCAACAGCTGTGATCCACCACGAGTTTCGAGCCAGAAACTAAAAAGATTCAACTGCCCGAAAAATTGAGAGAAATCGTAACTCAGTCCATAAAAATTCTCCAAATTTCCATCTTGCTCACGTAAACCCAATCCACATAAGACATCCATATACGCCATTGTCGTATTTTTTTCTCTGTTAGAAATCAAGAAAACGGACATTTTCATGCATTTGCCAAAGTGGTGCTGCGCCGTTTCTCACATAAGTAGTTGTATACTACAAACTTGTAGAAGTACAAACGTAAATTTTCAGCTCTCTGCAAGCTCTAGTTCTCGAGAAATATCGAATAGAGCTTTCCCTAGTCTAGTGGTCCAAGCTAAAATTCAAATTTTTCGAGAACTAAAGCTTGTAGAAGGCTGAAAATTGTTTGTACTTCTACAGGCTTAGTATAGTAGTATACAACTACTTATGTGGGGACGGCACAACACCACTTTGGCAAATGCACGAAAATTTCCGTTTTCTTGATTTCTAACAGAGAAAATACGGAAATGGCGTATGTGGATGTCTTATGTGGATTGGGTTTACGTGAGCAAGTTGCAGGATTTGCAGGATTTTTATGGAATGAGTTACGATTTTTCTCAATTTTTCGGGCAGTTGAATCTTTTTAGTTTCTAGCTCGAAACTCGTGGTGGATCAGAGCTGTTGCTAAAGCAAGATTGCCGTCTTGTAGAGCTTGCTTTGCTCTATCGAATAGTGCTTTGCAACCTATTTAGAAAAGAGAAATGTATGACTTATAGCTTTTGAAACTCAAGACCTGCATTAATTTCCGGACAGCCTAATATATTTTTCGAAGTTATTTGGGCTGAGAAGTTGTTCAAAATAGATACTGTTGCTATCGGTCAAAAAATTTCTTCTGTTTGAGGTATATCCAAAAATTCGCTCATTTCCTTGAACTCGAGTTTATAATAGCTTGCTTACGATTTTTGCGAAAATCCTAGCCTGTCAACGCATGAAGAATTTAGAATTTTCGTAATTCGGGACTTTCGGTCCTACCACAAATAGGTTCAAAAAGTGACAATTTTTAGTTTTTCTCCTTCGTTGAAACCTTTCTTGTGCACGCATATAATATTGGCTCGCGGCTACAAAAATTTTTACTGGCCATAAACAACAAAACTTAAAGGGATCTCACAAAAGCGACGTTTTCAGAAAAAAATTCTAGATTTTCGATGCATGTTTTTCTTCCCGTTTGCGATATCAGTACGAGCGGGTGCGCGCAAGGTACGAAAGATTCATTAGATTTGATGGTGCTGAGTATGTTGAAGAATATAAAGACTGTATATAATTATAGCTAGTCATATGAAACTTTCCAAAACAGATATTATTTCTGTACTTACCTAATCGACCATGTTTTTTGAATCAACACTGAATCGACAGAAAAGAAAGCAAAAAAATCTTAATCAGATCTGACCTTCTGCAACTATACAACTTTGTTAACGAAAAACACTCTTAACGTCCTGCAGAAGATTGCTTCACAGATAGCGAACGCGTAATTGATTTAGCGTCTCGATATGAGTGTTGGAATACATCTCATGAAAAGGAAAAGAATATGGAGATGTGGAAAGACCGCTATAAAGGGTACTTTGTAAGTTCAAGGATAATTTGAAAACCTTGCAGGATCCAGCTGCAGTGGGGGAAAAATAATGGATCCTACTCCTCCCTCAATTTTGGGCTAGAATCCGAATGACCTCCTTCACCTGAGGCTGAATTGCGAAGTTAGTTTAGGAGTGACTCATGATTGAAAACCTATTGCAGAATCATGGCCGTGGAAAAGTCACATGTAAAGAACAATGTTTACATCGATAACGGCAGAAATTAAGATAGTTGTACTTTTTCCGCGCCCTTTTAGAGGCGCCTTTAGTGGGCATATAGTATAAAAATTGACTAGCTTCAAGAAATGAAAGTAAGTCAAATATACAAAAAACAAAAAGAACAAGAAAAATCAAAAATAAATTGATTTTTTCCTAAAATTTCGATGGTTGTTGCTTGTTTGCTGCACATTTCTCCCACGTTTTCTTTCGAACAAATTCACAGAGTTATTTTCAAAATTTGAGGATCAAGGCTTACCACAGCTTTGAGATTGGTGGACAGATGGACACGTTTATTTGTAAGAGAGACAATGAAAAAAAAACTAATTAAGGCGGTCGAAGACTCAAAGAATGCGTCCTCGCAAATTCACAAGAATTGCCAATCGCAGATCTACTTAGATCGCATCAAGTTTTTCTTTTGAAACATCAAGGGCCGCATGCATTAACATCCCCGCCAAGGAGGGGATCGCAGCTTCAAAAGAAAGATTCATATCCTGAAGCTGAAGATGTCTGGATTCCACGATGTATACCTATCTGTAAGTACTCCAACCATCCTTCAATATGAACACCTTGAACGGGAGCAAGAAGCCGTACAATCCACATTTTCCAGCTTTTTGTTTGATCTCCTGATAAATCCTGGCTGTCGACCATCTTTTCTTTATAGTCATTTTTCCTTTTCCGAAGTCAAGAAAAAACATTCCAAAGTTGCGCTGTTTACCTAACACAGTGCTAATCATGTTTCTGGTAAGAACAAATGATGTTTCAAAGTCATGAAATTTGCGATGAAACACAAGTCAAAAGTCAGGGTTTATCGAAAAAATCGGTATTCCAAAAACTCATTTGTTCTTATTAGCAACATGCTCAGCATTGTTGTATTAGATGTTCAGTACAACTTTGGAGAGTTTTTGTTAACTTCGAAGAAAGAAAAGGAACTAAAGAAAAGACGGTCTGCCGCCGGGGATCATCAGGGGATCATACAAAATGCTGGAAAATGCGGCTTGTACAGCTTCTCGCTCTTGATCGAGTGCATAATGAAGGAGGTAGGTACACTTACGGATAGGTATACAGCGTGAAATCCAGATATTTGGAGCTTCAGGATATAAGACTTTCTTTCTAAGCTGCCCGTCCTCAGTGGGGACGTTAATGCATGCGGCCCTAAGGCGGCGAGTAGCAGTTTGCTTAGGTAAGTCTGAATGTGTCGCATTGGTATCCCAGTGCAATTTCCTTTGACTTCCACTTTGTAGTTAAAAATTAAATTTATTTGACCGGAAATACTTACCGGACCACGTTGTAGACGTTGGCATTGTAGGTGGGGATCCTGCAAAATAGATAAGGGGGTGCCGAGTACACACCTTTGATACGGTAACTAAACCATGTCTTTACCGCTCTTGTTGGTAACGATGATTATGACCACGATTATTCCCAATATGAGTGCAACTAGAGCGGCAACAAGCATAATGAATTTTCCTAGCCCTAGTCGGTTTTTTACTGTTCCTAAAATTCTTACAATTCAAAGCGGATTTTCAAAACTAGAGCAACATGTCATACCAATGGCACTTTGACAACCATAAAGCAGAAAATCCAGAGAGTCTAGAACAGCTACCAAAATGTTTTGCAAGCTGATCTGTGCATTTCTCGGCTTTTTCCTCCCTCTCCTAGAAAGATTTCCTCTTTTCTTCATCTGAAAAAGTATTAAAGTATCAAAAACCTCAAGCGGCAGCGAGTTTGTTTGCGGAAGATTTTTGAATAAGCTGATTGAGGGGATTTTTTTTCAAGAAAATAAAGCATGGGATAGAATGAAGAAAATAAATTTGCTACTCATTCAATGTTAACTGTGTGTGTTAAGCGATCTCTTCTATTCAAAATCTATCCTCGATGCCTCAAGACTAAAAGTCTACGCTAATGTTTTTAGTGCTTTAGTTTGAAGAGCTTTTAAAGTCTCCAAAATACTTCTAAGTTCAGTGAAAACGAAAACAGTTGATGACGAAAAGAGCGCGAATAAAATAAGGAGCAAACAAACAGCCAATCAAGTTAAGCGCAATTAGGATGGTTACAATACTGCTGATTTTCCCACTCAAAAAACCTTGGGAACATAGACTTATGAAAGGTTTCCCCAGGCAGACGATATTTCTCCGTGCATATAAAGAAGACTTATTAGATGGGTCAAATTACATCGCGACGATTTCTAGGAAGCACCGTCATCTACCGTAACAGGGCTACTAACTAAATAATCTTCCAAGTCACGCTGCAAGACAAGTCTTCAAGCAAGGAAATTGCACTAGAAAGTATTGTCAATTTGGGTAGTCTGAGCTCGATGGTCTCGGAGTATTTGAAGAGCCACTTAGACCGCTTTTACCTTCTGGAGCAATTTTCTCGCTTAGAAATTCACGTTTTACAGCTGAACTTGGGTGATTACTTACTCAGGGGTTCCGCTTTCTTACGATATAAGAATCTCACTGCCCTCAGTTTGGGTGGACGGTGCCACATCAACAATTTTTGCACACCTTTTTGCCTTGAGAACACAACCATCCGATCTCAGAAGTGCGGGTCTACAATTAATATACGGATATGACTTCAGCTGCGATGAATTAGTCGTTCCGTAAGCCGCTCATAAAGGTGATGTCGTAGGATCTTGTAAATTTATGAAGCTCGAATCGTCGAATCGTTGACCACATGGTCATAGATTGGGAAGCACGCGCCGCATGTTCAAGGCAAATCTGGCCTACGGGGATCTCACATGGAAAGTAATTTTGGGGCCCTATTTAAAGCACTGCCCAAACGGCGGTGCGAATCTTTGCTAACGGCTGAGATATTCGTCTCTAAAGTGGACCCCGGGATCGTATTAACAGACGATTTGCATAGTTTTCGCAAGCTGTCGCACCGGGACCACGCGAAACTGATGGTTTGTTGAGACAAGTCGTTTATTATTAAGACCTGAGGTTAAGGTTGAAGGCGAATGTCTTAAATCTGTCAGCCGTGGGTGCATCATCTGGGCTGGATTTGAGCAGTGTCTTAGTTAAAGGCAGTGTCCCGGCAGATTCGCATTCGAGGAGATACAGGTGTGGTGGTGTTCCTGGTCACCCCACTAACCTCCGCTCCCAGTCCGGCTGTTGATGTTTCGCCCACGCCGAGAAAATAGCCCTCGGCGCGCGCTCGAACGGCTTTGCTTGTCTGTTCGGCGCGGGACCCCGACCGCTCTCGCAATGTGCATGCTAACCAAGGCAAGACACAAGCGCCAGGTTCTTCGTGCCGGGCTTCCCAACGTTCCAATGAAAATCTCGTCCGAGCTGCTTTTTTGAAATTGCGTAAACGCCGCGAAATTGGTCTTTTCACCCCTTTCAAAGCTCAAATTCGGGTTCTACGTGTCGAAAAGGCCTTGTGGTGGTTCAGTGGGTTTTTGGGGGACTCTTCGATGACTCAGCCAACACTTGGGGAGTAAGAATGTTTATTGGAGTAAAAGTACAGCCGGCTCGTTCCGGCACACAACAGAGTGAAGAGTGAGGGGTAAAGTTGGCCAGCAGGAGGCTGGCCCTAACGGGCACAAAGAGTCCGCCAGATGGCGGATTCTTTGTGAAAAGTTTACGATGTAAACACAATGGTCACAAAGAGTTACAATTTGGGCATGGGGTCGTGTGTTTATCACGACACTCCCCCCCAGACAAAAAATTAACTTTCCGAATGAGGAATTTTCTCATTCGGCATGATGAAAAAAAGGGAAAAACAGAAAAAAAAGGAAGGATGAAAAAAAAAGGGGAGGGATATTTCGCAATGGGTATAAGAACAGCAATAAACAGAGAAAATGATATGGAAACAGCAAAATTAACAACAAAATGTTACAAGGAGTTACCAAAACATATAATAGAGGGGGGAAAGGAACGGAACAACAAAAAAAACTTGTCGAGCGGCCGAAGACTGGATGCGATGTTGAGGCGAAGGAGAAGTGGAGGGTACGTAGTTGCGGCGGAGTTGGGCTTGACGAACTGGAGAAGATCTAGATCAAGTATATTATTATTGAAATATATAATAAATCATTCCCTGCTGGGATATATGGGAATATTGAGTGGTACTGGATGCCATATTCGAGCTGATGCGTCAGAGCAGACGCATAGCAGACGCATATCGTCTTTCAAGGATTTGATTGACTGATATTTCATTTTTAGACTGATATGCTTAACGCGCGTCTGCTCTTGCGCAAGAAGATGTCACCCTGGCTGCATAAAAGGGTGATTAAGCCGCTTCTTCAGCCATTTGCCTATTTCTTCCTTATTTTTTGCTATCTTTTTTTTCTTGCTTGGTCTTCCCTTATGTTGCTACTCTAGAGTTAACGCAAGATGCCCGCTGTTAATGAAGTAGCGCCCGTGAGAAGTAACCAGGTGAGTAATTAAAGATATGTTCATCGCATTTCTTTTTACCTTGAGGGTTTTTGTGGCTAATTTGTGAATTAATTTTTATTTTTTATAATTACAGGACTTCATCGATAAGGACAGAGAAATCAATATGCTCCGTAGGAAACTGAATGCGGCCGAACGGGAAAGGGATGAGTTCAAAAAGGTAAGACATTTTTGTTCCATGTTGTGAATAATTTGATAAGTATTTTCTTTTTAGAGCGCCGAAGAGTTGACTGAGAAGTTGTCTAATGAGCGATGGACGTCAAGGGCCAAACAAGCATGGTTGAAGAGGTCGATGGAGGACATGGCATTATTGGAAGCGGCTAACAATGCTCTGTCGAAGGCTATGTCCACCCTGCGACGTAACATCGGGGACGGCATTAATTCGTGATAGCTGTTTGTTGTTTATTGTAGTAAATATAGACATGTTGTGATTGTTATTGTAATGATAATAATGTTATGATAATAAACATTATGGAACAATCTGTAACTAGTGCAAAGACTCACCATAGCTAATTGGGTTGAGAGGTGGTCGGGAACATGGAATGAACGTTGGGGCTTTTACTGTAACCAGGATTTGGGTTTGATTAGTAGGTATAAGTTCTGAACCAACCTTTCGCCGTTTAAATGGCCCATTCTGTCCTCTGTTTGGGCATAGCAGGACGTTGTGCAGCCTGCCGCAAATGGGGCACGTTACACCACAATCTTCGTGGTGTTTCGGTTGAAGGCACCTTTCGCAGAGTCCAAGGGCTGACGCTTGCACTGCCCGCGACACAGCGTCGGGGAATTTGCAGCAACGTCCAGTCGGGTGTTGATCCTTGTTGTCTTCCACAGTGCAAAACATGCAATTTGACCTCGGGGTAGTCCTTTCCACCATAATAGTTAGCTGGTGGTGAATAATGGACCATCTCTCGCTCGTAGCTTGGACTGCTTGCATGATATTGTCGATCTTGGCATTAATTGTTGACAGTCCGTTCTCCATCCGCTCCTTAATGTCTTTGAGGGCATCCGCTAGAGGTTCGATGTGCAAGGCGACGTCGATCTCGTCCATTGGCATTAGTTGTAGTGTTCAGGCTGACGTGAATTAGTCGAATGAGTATCGTTCATCAAAGTTTCTTGGTTCCACCCCTACCATATGAGATTGTTTATGTTATAAGATATGGGTATTGTGTACAGTGCTGATTATAATAGTGGGTCGGCCCCACTCTTTTAGTGCGTGGCGGCTCTGATACATTTGTATACAGTCTGAATAAACAACGCAGTTGTCTTCGCGATAATTACCGCGCAGATGTAGACTAATCTAGCGGGTGCAAAGATTAGTGCTGGTCCGAAGAAATATGTTATCACTGAGAGGATGGTTATTGATCCCAATATAACTGTGGTGACTTGCCAGTGTTTGCGGAGAGTATTCCAGATCGGTAAAATACTTGGAACTTTCCAGTCTGCAAACCAATCTTTGCGGGAATTTCTTAGTTGAGCGGGATTTTCGAACAACATGTGTTCCACAATGTCTGGTACAAAACTGAGTGTACCTGTAAGGTCAAATTTGATGGTCTTGTTGTTGCATTGCGCAACGCATGTTTCTTGCACAATTGCTTTTTGGAATTCTATTGCTAGTGCAGTTTCTTTTCCTTGCGAATCGCACTCTACTGAGAATGTGTGTTCCCCGCACTGGATTACAATCCATGCTCTTTCATTGGTTGTGCAACTGATGTTCACTTGAGCTCCTTCCTGACAGTCGTAGCATCCAAACACGCTGCTCGCGTTTAGTTTGCAATCTTGTTCAAGTAGATATTCTGCACTGTTCTTCAGTGAGCGGGATTCTAGCGATACGACTACTTCTCCTTGCATAGTTTTTACGAAGAGTTCCTTATCTCGTTTTTGTAAGGAAGTGAAGGGAGTATGAATGGGAAATACATTTGTAATGTCATTTTTCACGTCTCTAATGGACATTTGAGGACAGTGACATCTGATTGCTCCATTTGCGTCTTCGCATGAGCATATCATTTGGTTGGCGCAATTTTTGAAATCTTTAGCTGCTGATTGGTAAGTCGCGCATTTAGCTGCTAGTTCGTATCCTTCTGGTAGAAGCAAAGCTTCCTTGTTTGATATTGCTATTTTTCTGTCTAGCATGGCAAAGTGCGGCGATTGTACCGAAATTATCGAGATTTCTATTCCTTGAAATGCGTGTTTGATGTAAGGTGCGCTTGTAATCAAGGTTTCTTTTTCTTGGTTGTAGAGTGAAACTCGGACTTTCAAATTCACCAACGGTTCCCACTTCAGACATGATACTACTTCGTAAATCTCTTCATTTCTTGGGATTTGTGTGACCCGATAAAACGAACAAGCTGGTAGCGGGAGAAAACAGCCGCAACCGAGTCCGCCGCATGAATGCTGACACCCGGAGTAGCCTGGAAACTGGTATGCTTTGCCAAGCTCTTTGATTGTCGTATTGACAGTTGTCTGCGAGCATTTGGAATTCACGCATGACCCTGCCTGCGAGCAACGTACAGTGCTAAATACTCTGGTCGTCGCATCTCTCGTAAAGTACAATGATCTTTTTGCACATCGCATTATCGTTGGATATCGTTCTACTTCAATTAGACCAACGGATTTATTGGCATGCATAATGTTGACGCAGAGTTTCAAATCCAATTCATTGAATAGAATTTCTCTTTTGTACTCATAAGAGCAGCTGTTATGGCTGGTGCATATCAAATCGATTTCTTGCCGTATGTGGCCGTTTTGGCAGGCTACTGCCGCATCTGTTAATGCCAGTATGCATACGAGGGCAATGTTCACGGCTCTATAGATCGTCGGTGGACTAAATAATTCTAACCGCACACTTGCATTATCGCTTGTGTTAACGGTTACTTGTACGGGACGGATTAGTAACCTTTTTATGCAGGTGGAGAGCATAATAGTTGTTACAATAATCGCATAAAGCGCTAATCCAAGGGATGCTATGGCACCGTTTGGCCAACAATGTGGGTTTGCTAGTAGTTTTTTCGATAGGAATCCTTTCGAATGATCACATATATGTGGCTGTACGCAATATGCCTGTTCCATGATTTCTTGATCCTCCAGAAAGTACCTCATGGAGACAAACATGGTCTTATTTAATGCCGTTGGAGGTAATGACCACTCCCTTTGTGCGATAGCCATCTTCGGAAAGGATCTACAAAGGCTTCCCATACATAGTTCGAATGTTGTGTTTGGATTGTTGATCTTAACATTGCCTTTTTCGCAAATTAATCTGTCGGATGCAGCTGGATTGATGAGGCATAATGCGGTGATAACTGAAAGCAACATCTGGCGTATTGGAGTTGATGCTCTGCTAAAGCCTTCGTCAGCTTCATCCGATTCCTCCAAGCTTCGTTCAAAATTACGTATAATTGTTCGCGCATTTATCGTAGCTTGTCTCGGCGGCCGCCTCTGCGGGGGGTCTTGGTGACCTGTTGGCGGATTAGCAGCGTCGACACCTATGTCTGGCGGATTGCCGTTGTTATTCGCTCCATTATCATCTACGCCTGACAATTCGCCGTTATTGATCGTCGAGCATTCTACCTCGCTTTGTATTTCCAATGGATATATCGTGTTTAGTGGTCTATGACAAACATGTTTATTTGGTAGTAACACTTTTGCTGATCTGATTTGTCCATCTAGACTTTTCACTAATTCAATTACTTTTCCGTACGACCAGTTACCTCTGGGGAGATTCTCTTGTTTCATCAGCACTATTTCGCCGATAATTGGGTTTCGTAAGGGCACGTGGCGAGGTTGTTTGAGCGAAATTCGTTGTATTTCTCGCAGTGCAGTTAGATATTCTGTATTCCATCGTTCCCAAAATTTGTCAGCGATTTCTTCGGAAGCTAACAAGGCTTGCTTAGCTTGCTGAGCTGTTTGAATTAACTCTGGGTCAAAGTCTAGATCGTTAGACTCGCCTTCTACTTGTGGTTCTCTAACATCAAATTTGATATTGGCCTGTAGGAAATCTACTGGACGTATTGGGATCTCAGAAATGTCGGTAAAATCTAACTTAGTGAGCGGTCTCGTGTTTATTATGGCTTCGATTCGAGCCATTGCTGTGCATAACTCGGTTAGATCAAGTCTGCGTCTGCCTATTGATTTTCGGAAGGCCATCTTTACTGTACCTATTAAGCGCTCCCAAGCACCACCCATCCATGGGGCTCCAGGTGGATTGAAAATCCACTTTATACCACAGTTTGCGCTGTAATTCATTACCGAAGCGCCTGTACTCGGGTCTTTTTCATACATAATGTCCAATATTTGTTGACCAAGTCGGAAATTCGTGCCGCAATCTGTGCGTATAGTGCTGGGCACCCCTCTACGAGATATAAATCTGATAAAACTGCTCAAAAAGGCTCCGGTTGACATATTTTCAACCACTTCCAAATGTATTGCTCGTATAGTAAGACATGTGTATAAGCAGATGTAAACTTTTTCTTGGGTTTTTATCGTTATTGGTCCCATAAAGTCACAGCCCACTTTATCGAATGGTTTTGTTACAATTACTCTGTCTTGTGGAAGTGGTGGCATATTTGGGGCGCCAAATGGTAAACCTTGCCATTTTTTGCAGTTTACACATCCTTTTAAGAACTTTTTGAATGCTCCTGATGGTTTCGGAATCCAAAAACGCTGTCGGGCTATCGATAATGTGTGTTCTTTTCCACAATGTGCGTTTTTCTCATGAATATCTCGCAATATTAGCCTTGCAAGGTCCGATTTCGGGTTTATGTATATGGGAGATTTAGTATCGTACGGTAATTGGGCATTTTGCAGCCGTGATTCATTACGAACAATACCGTCGCTGTCCCTGATAATCTTTTTGTTTGGAAATTTCTTTTGTAACTTCTGTAATATTTCGTTTTTGTGTTGATCTGCGATTAACATTCGCTCACCCAGTTTCATGTCCTCGAATGTTATTTCTGTGTCTCTGTCGAACTGCGCGATTCGTTGCAACTGTATTTGAATTCCTCGATTTTCCCGGGTTTTGCTCACCCATAGTGCGATAATTTTACCAACTTTTGCCACAGTTCTTATGAGTTTATTCCACTGGGAGAATCGCGCTAGATCAACTAGATTATCGTTGTTCTCGACATCGGTTACGTCATCGATAACATGTGGCATGTGTATTTGCAACGGTTCCTCTTCCTCCTCAAACTCTTGAATCTCAGATATGTCTTTCAACTGTTTATATGGGCCTGATTGAGTAAGCCACTGCGGTCCCTCAATCCAATCGATCTCTTGGATCTGTCTCGCAGTGACGCCGCGAGTACCAGCGTCTGCCGGGTTGTAATTAGTGGCGACATGGTGAAATTTGACCGCCACATTGCTAGATTCAAGGTCTTGTTTGAGTTTAAGTATACGTTCTCGTTGGTTCCGTACAAATACTGGAAGTTTTCGGTTCGATTTTAACCATGAAAGAGCAATTTCGCTGTCACTAACTATATGGATTTCTCGTATCGCTTCCGTAGCTGATTCACATATATTTTTCGCGAGACGGATAGCCATCAGTGTGGCCAATATTTCTAATCTTGGT